AAAAATAACAGAATCAATGTTAAGAACTTGATACGAATATAATGCACGGATAGCAAACATAGCACTGCAATCATCCAAATAAGATACGAATCCTTCGAGTGACTTCAGAGCATCCTAAAAACATTTATTTGTAAAAATATTACTGGGATGAGGACATCATCAATGTAAAAAGATAGTCTTCCAACCAGCAGGCTTATATTCAACGGAAGTTTCGGACAGTCTCTATCCCTTTCTTCAACTTTGGTCAGGCACTGACCAAAGTTGGTCAGGCACTGATATTCATGAAATCAGACTTAGGCACGCACTAAGGAAACCATAAAATGTCACATGCAATCAACATACATGGAATATGGAACATGGAACATGGAATGTCTTCTTTTTACACTCAAAACGTTTAGCGGGTATAAGTACGTTAAACCTAATGGAAAAAGACGATTCCCAACGGCAATAAAAGCAAAAGCAACAAAAGTGTGAAGGAATTACCTGGTCAGTTTGTGAGCGTGACAGCGGGTGGAAAAGGCAACGCATTCGATGTCGGCTGTCAGCCTAACATGTGTGATGACAGAGGTCACAAACATGAAAGGCATGGCTTGTGTATGCGATGATATACACTTTTTCTTTACCCACCGTCCAGTTTCAGCCATGGCTGCATTCACAAGCCGATAGGTTTTTGAAAGGTCTTGAGCTTCATTACGATCATTTTCTTGAGCTACATAATCATTTTCTTTTTACAACCATTGTGAGAAGCATATGGGCACTGTAGAAAACACCATCTCTAGGAATTCTCAAAACACTTAAGCTGACCAACTTATCTTGCGCTTTCCTTCTATAACTACCTACCTACCTGCTTTTAGGCGGGTAAGCATGCTTATGTGTATGTATGTATGCATGTATGTATGGCTGGATGGATGGATGGACGAACGGTGGATGTATATATGTATTCACGTATATATGAATGCATGTATGTATGTGTGTATTCATCCATCCATGTGGAAATAAATGTTCACAAACATGCGCACATGGTCTGACCGACCATGTGTGTATGTGTGCATATGTGCACGCATGTATGCGCCTTAAGCACATATACATGCGTCTATGCACCCGTATATGAATGTTTTATTGCCAATTTCATCCATGCAACATGACTTTTCGATACTGACGTCAGACACTGAACGTCAAGCATACGGCGGTGGTACACATAAGACCGCAGGGCATCACTAATACTTGCGCCGCGCGGCGTTTTAGTAACTAAAACAGTGACGTCATAAAAGCAGTACCAGGTGTACTCGGGTTTTGTGACTCCGTTATGCGAATATAATACAAATATCACAGCGTTATCACAAAACTAATGGTAAAAAACAAAAGAGCATGTGGAGCAGGACACTGAGCAACAGTTTTCCTTGTGCCTAACTCTGACACGAAAATGTAAAAATCCAACTTCCTGATCAGAGAAAATGTAAAGATGGGAAAATGTAAATAAATCTGGCTTGGAATTCGGTCCTGGCTTAGGCGTTCCGGGGTCGTCACTTCACGAAAGCAATATTGTTTAAAGGAAGAGAAAACGGGCATTTGTGAACGTATGCACCGGTTTGTACAGCCGTGTACGCACACACGTGCGCGTACCATGGATCTGCCGATTTTAGGACACTTTTGAGGAGTGCTTGTCGGGTGTTTTTAAGTTGCGTCAGATCTTGGTACCCAAAAAGATAGCTAATTGGAATAAGCTGCATGGTGTAAATGAATGCCCGACATACAAATCGCTAAGTGAGTTCAACACTGCCCAGCCCATAGCGATGGGCAATCTATCGAGAAGCGACTTATGTCAGCTGTTCAAGACCAGGTCATGTCACTCGCTGCGACCAAGCTTATGAACAGCAACCACAAGAACTCGTGTCCCAGCTCCTTGTGACCTACAATGATAAGAACCGGATGTTTCGCAAGCGGTGCCGGAGGAGGGCTGTGACTGCCGTGAGGTAATTTTGTTGCCCACTTTGACAAAAAGTGGTGTTGCCGGGATACATTTGCATGCGACCGATGCATCGGACCGACAGCGGCTGAGAGGTAATTAATTGAGTCGTGTCGATGATGTGGGGCTTATTGGAATTCGCTACTGATCAGGACATTCTCAAGTTCTGGTACATGTACAAATAATTTTCCTTACCAGTATCGCTGACGAACACATCCGCCTGCACGCCTTCTTTGCGCGTGGTACAACGCGCTGTGTCAGATGTCCCCTGTGAGCATCAAATGTGAGTCCGATGTCCCCACTGAAAGCAGCACCGATAAAAACCTGGATGTGGTGGTGGACAAACACCTCAAGCTCGAGCCACATATTGACAACATTGTTGTTAGGTCAACAGGCGTCTTCATGGCTTGTCCCATGCAAAGCATGTAGTTCTGAAGGGTATTCTGGCTGGATTTTTTAGTGCGCCATTTATACCGCTCAATCAGACAGTGTGTCTCACTGTATGGTGCTCATGAATCTACTCAGCCATGTCGTATACACAAACTCATAAATTTGCGTACACGGGTGGAAAGCGGAAGGGGAAGGAATAGCCATATATCCCATGTTGTCAAAGATATTCGATGGCTCAGTGCGTATCAGCTGGTCAAGTAACACAAGCTATGTGTAATTAGAGGAGCACCGAACACGGCCAACCCCCAGACATAGCCATAGTAGGCAATATTACACCCTCAAGCGTCAGCTGATGCAGTTGCCACTGCGCTGGCTGTTATGTGCCGCCATGCGCCTGCTCGGGAGCACACGTGGGTAGCGCCATCTACATATACTTCGATGTCGAACGGCGATTGATAGATGGTTCTGACTGCGGTGTTCAGCGACAATGGCGGATGGTTGTGCGTCTCCCCTTAATTCGTGCTGGGATGTTCCCGCTAAATGTTTTTTATCTCCTTGCATCGAAGGTAGTGGCAACATTTAGGCCAGCCACCTCATTCAACCGTGCAATGCATCTCAGTTTATTTCAGTTTCGTTCCACTATGATCAGTAAGCGTGGATGTCCGTTCTGGTTTTGTGCTCCCTTGCTCTACTGTCGTGTCATGAACGCGACCGAAGGAACAAGACACATTTTGCTTGAGTTATACAGGTGCTTAGCTGAAGTTTTTGCCGGTGCTGATAACCTATAGCAATCATCCATATAGCCAAAGAGGATGATGATGGAGACGGCAGGCGGTATGAAGGAGGGATGAGTATGGTGGAGCTCAGTAGTGTAAGTATGGTGGAGGTCAGTAGTGTTGGAGCATAGCTGACCGTTGGGGCTTCAGAGCTGCTTGTGCGACTCAGTTTGTACCCTTACGCATCATTCTGGGCACAATCCCGGTAATTTCGATATTTGATTTCGCATGATTTTAACACGTGTTGTAGACATTTTATATATTTAGCTATTTACCTACGACCGCTTTCTGAGTTTATAACGCGAGATTTATGGAAAACGTTGGGGAGGTACAGCCATTTGAGATCAGGCTTGTCCCATGCAAAAAAGCCAATGTGAATACGCCTCAAAAAATCTTCAAAATGGCTGACTTTGTAAGGAATTCCGTTTGGTCCCAATAGCCTGATTTGATGTCCAGAGTCGGAACGACACATCTTGGATGCAGTTCAACGAGAGCTATCAAACGACGTTTTCTTCATCGCAGTACCATGCTTGGTGAATCATATAGTGCATGTGCACTGTTCACACCAGGTGAGACCTTGAACACTTTATCTAACCTGATGGAGATCACGTCTTCCGATAGCTAATGCTGAAGATATCAAGCAATGTTCTAAAAGCAAGCAGCGCCATTTCCTCGAGTGCATTGGGAAAACGGTAGTATTCTTTATAGCATGCAGGATATTGCAGTACCTTAGCGCATATGGTTCTTTAGATTAGAAGATAGGCATATATTTTAGAATTGCACTTCAAGGAAGCGGTTTGGCTTGTGAGTTGTCACCTACAGCGACCATCAGTAACTAGCCCATGCCGTTTCATTGGTATGTGTAAGATGACGCTTTGCGGCGTTTCTGCCCTGCTTAGTTCCCGTGGTCGCGTGTGACCTGCGTAGTTGCCCCGACCGGCGAAGACAAGTAATACCAGGCCGGGGATGGCTGGGAAGGCGATGTCGGAAAGCTTCACACCAGAAAATATTTTTCGTTTTAACCCAGTGCCAGCACCAATAATAAATGTATCATAATACCGAGGAAATAACTTAGCCTCATCCACCACCTGGAATTCTCTCGACGCTGGTAATGTTTTCGGGTGTTTCGAATGCTTATTTTGTTCATCCGTAATTCTTGATGTACTAGTCTTCCGTACCGAATATCGAGGTGTCCCGAACCGAATCTGCGCCACGCAGCTAAAATCGGTACCAATAATGTAGATGAAGTTTTAAGCTTCATTTACATTTTGAAGTTTTTAACGTAAACGATATTGTTGGATATATTTTTTAAGTTGTGACTTTATTTTCGTTAAATGTAAAATGAAGCACTCGCCTTACGAATGGTGCTGTTGAATGTGTAATTTGGTCTAAGTATGACTGACGGTCTTAGAAGAATCTATGCCGCTGTGATGTGTTCGTGAGCATTGTCCTCTAACCGGAAACTACATTGTGATCTACGTCAAAATTGGCTCCAGTTTCACGTGCCGACGCACCACTGTGACCGCGATCGGCACAGCAGTGCTCGTGCTTCCGTAGCACGTGTCTGCGTCCGGAGGCTGTCGCTGACACGGGGGCAGGACACAGCGTGCTGAAGTCCGCAATAGATTTAATGTATTAAAGTAATGACACTTTCCGTGTTTTGCCGAGTTACCCAACGTTTACTACGGCGTCTATTACGGCCGCTTTGCTACGGGCGTGTGGAATGCGTCCTTCGACTGCGGCTGCCCGTCATGTGTTTGCTATGGTGACCCACTGACGTGTCTGGCCGGTGCAGTGTCTGACCGTCGCGGGGGCGTCGGAGTGTCTGCTCCTCGCAGCTGGCGTGCTGACGTGTCCGTATCCTGCAGCTGCAGACGGCGGTGGGGGAGATGAAGACGTCCTTCGCCTCAGCCATGCGGTGGCTGACGGAGTCTTCGCACGCAGCGGCCGGTCCAGATACCTTCGGGCCTGCTGGAGTTGGCTGCCCTGATGATGATGACGTCATCCACACCATCCGAGGACTGCAGGTAGCTGTGACCCAGGCGCCAGGCATCCGGCACCCATACCCAGCTGCAACCGTTCATTTATTCCAGCTATGAGAGAACTACCGGCCGAGAGCTTAGGGCGTTGATGTCCCGCCTCAGTCTGCTCACCGCGCGGTGTGTTGGTTATGTAATTCTCTATTTATTATATTTATCTCTATTTGTTATATAGCACCATGTATTATTATGTGTTTATATTAGGCCTTTTGATTCGTGTATATATTTATGGTGGTGACTTTAACACTTAATGTCATCCTGAGTAGAATGACAATCCCCAATAAGCCATATCAACGTACGTGTTCTCTTCCACATCCTCACAGCATACCGCGTAGCACGCTTTGGCGATGCTACATATGCCGCTTACTCTGGCGTTGAAACGCAGCTGACGTTAGCTGCCCTGCCGCAGGCGGAGCTAGCCGAAGTGACGGCAGCAGTGCAGCAGCTGCAGCAGGGCCAGCAGGCGACCCGGCGGCAGCTGCGGCTGCTGCTGGACGAGCGGGACGTGCTGCTGGACGAGCTGTGCAGGACGGATAGCGTCTCTGGCCAGACGAGGTTCGTGCAGCCCCGCGGGTGTAATCACGTTTGCATGTCCCGCACTGGGGTGACCTCGGTCATGCTCTAGTCTCACTTAGCTGTCTTCAGTCGCTCTCGGACACTTTCCCTGGCAGAGCATCGTTATCGCCAATGACGTTGCATTGTTTGCACATTGATGATCACGCTCGACTTTGACTCTACCATACTGCCTAACTGCGAAAGAATATCCCAGTTAGCAATACATAATTTCACCTCTGGCGGTAAATATCTCACCACTTGGAATATCTAAGTTATGTGAAAAAGTATATGGTCGGGGACCGCGGTACAAAAGCTAGAGAGACAATAAGTTCACGCTACAATCCTCCAAAAAACACGTTCAGAAAATATGTGCAACATCGAAAACGGTTTTTTACCTCATACATACGCCCGCGGTGTGAAATTATATTCACAGAACATTGAATTGGCATGCAACCATTTATTTTCAAAATCAGGAGCATAGTAAATAACAGTATTCTGCAGTCACTGTAGGCCACGGCGCGCGCGTACCGGCTTCAGTTTCCAAGGGTGACAGGTGAACAAACAGTCGCAGACTCATGGAACCCAGAAAATCTGCACTTACTTAAGCCCACGGCCCTCGCGTACCGGCCTCGGTTTCCGAGGGTGACAAATGAACAAACAGTCGCAGACCCATGGAACCCAGAAAATCTGCACTTAAGGCCACGGCCCTCGCGTACCGGCTTCGGTTTCCGAGGGTGACAAGTGAACAAACAGTCGCAGACCCATGGAACCCCGAAAATCTGCACTTACTTAAGGCCACGGCCGTCGCGTACCGGCTTCGGTTTCCGAGGGTGACAAGTGAACAAACGTTCGCAGACCCATGGAACCCAGGATAACTTTGTGTGGGTTATCTTATATGCTATGTACAAAAGTTGTGTATATGTTGCACTAGGTCACTGGTCTGTGACACGACAGAAAGACACGTCAAAAAATGTTGAACAGGCTGCCATTGCTAGGAATACTTACCGATCAGCACCAAACTCGTGCCGTCATGTAATTTCATGCCTTGCAACAGTTCTGCTGTCTTGAAATTACAAGATAGGTAAAGGTCAACAAGATCGTGTCATGCCAACCAAACCAAACCAAAATGTTCTGCTTCGGGCATTTGTGTGTCAGTGGCATGCAGGGGGTTGTTCGACTTATAAATTACACAAAACGCATCAAGGAGTCTCCTAAGGTGAGACGCACTCCAAGTTCGATAATTTCTAGCAATATCACACCTGGCCAAGGCTCATAGCAATGTTCTCATTGGTGCGCTGTTGCTGCTCGTGCATTTAGATTTTAAAGCTTTTGAAATGTCTTTCCTGGACTTTGAGCGTCAAGTGACATGCCTTGAAGCTTCATTTGACATGACCTTGCTTGAGCTAATCGGGCTTATTCTTGGCACTGCACCGTCATGAATTACCACAATTCGTGTTTATTTCATAGTATATAAACACGCTAGTATATAGTATATAAGACATATATTGAAAGCAAACAGCCGAACACTATGCGGCAGTGCTTCTCGGTGCCTTATCTTACTCACGCTACCTTTACTATCCCATTATTACTTTCGCACTAACGATGTGTGTTTTTTCATTTGCCGTTAACTCTTAAGCTGACCGTAACCATCTTTAGTTGCATAACTATGTATCTGAGCGAAAAAAAGCAAGATGTTGACTCCACACGACTAGAACTCTCCGTAGATGCCTCAGTTTTCTTTTAAGATCACGTAGTTCTCAAGTTTTGTTGTGGATTTTACCACAGTATTGAAGCTTACCTGCTTGACAGGCGCTGCTCATGCGATATTGCATTGTTCAAACAAATAATATTGCATTCCAGACAACAGCTTTACCGTGCCGGCCTACAGTTTCCGTCCCGAACATCTAGTGGTTGCCATAGCAACGACTCGGGTCTGGGCCCGGCGCCCGAAAAGGTGCGGTGGTCGGACCAAGACAGCACATCGGTCTCAGACGAGCCCTTCGTCTCAACCATCGTGCAGCAATATGTCAACGGCCTTGAAAATGGTGGGCAGTGGTTTCTGAGGAGATGCGAATTAAGCCGGGAATCGGGATTTTAGAAATCCTGGCCATGATATTATATATATATATATATATATATATATATATATATATATATATATATATACATTCATTTATTTATATAATATAAAAATATGCAAATATTGTATATTTCATTGCATTATATATTCACTGAAAACCCTGTTGTTGTCATATGGAAGTTACGTGTGTTGCATAGAAGACAATACGTTTCGTAGCAGTTCTTAGATCCCAATTTGGCGGAACTTTTTAAAGTACCATTGCACAGTATCAACTACCGTTTGCGTGTTCTATATGGTATTGAATAAAAATGAGTATTGTGTGTGTGTTAGAACGGCTGTATGACATGCGACCTGTACCTACATGAGTGTTCAACGGGCACCTGCGTGTCCGGGTGTCTGGAGTGGTCGACAGCTGATGACGGTGTTTTCTTTTACGACCACCAGGTGGCGACAGCTACGAGTCGGATTCCTCGCTTACAATGACCATCGACAAATCGCTCGCGTTTAGCAGCTGCTTATCCAAGCAGTGTGACCTGGAACTTGACGAGCTCAACGAAACAGATGGACAGGTACACCCTTTTCGCGATACTTGCGGGTTAAAATCGCATTAGGTGCACTTTTCTATCTAAAATAAAGTGCATTTTCGTCTCGTTTTCCATGGATTTCTAGTTATTCTACGATAGACCGTCCTCCGTATGTCGTCTATATAACGCGTCACTCGTTCTCCGTATTTCCTGCTCTTTCGGAGTTCTGAGTTCTCTACATACGTTGCGCTGTCGTGTTTGCTTGTGATACAGTTTTGGTGCAAAAAAACATTCGTGTGTATGATCACGTAAACATGCATAAAACATTCAAACAAACCATGAAGAGGTGGCGCCATTCAAAAACCCTCCCATGCCCCACCTTGATGATCTCCTCCCGGGTCAGATCTCGACAGTCTGTGAGGTGAGATGTTCCGCTGACCCCGTATCGGCAGCCCCGATCGGAGGCCGGCCAGAGCGAGCTGGAGGAGGCCGAACGGCTGGGCGTGGTGCGCGAGCTGGCCGAGACGGAGCGCCGCTACTGCGCCACCCTCTGGACCGTGCAGGACACGTTCGCCGAGCCCCTAGCTGCCTCCAGCCTCCTCAGCGAGGAGGAGTTCGGGTGAGGCCCGGTCGCGCTTGTCGCGTGTTTTGTCCGTGCGTCGTACGGGCGTGATGTGTGAGGAATGACGCTGAATCAGGGCGTTTGTCCTGCCCACGTCTGTCTGTCTTGTCTTGTCAGATATTTGTACGCCCGCTGGCATTGATGTCGATATTTCCGAGTTTTTACCGCTTGCGATGTCAAACAGCGATTCTAGATTTATGTTATGCTTCGCAACTTACTATCAGGCGTCAGACTAGCCCATGTGATCACCTCAGGCGTCAGACTAGACCATGCCACCACCTCAGGCATCAAACAAGGCTACATCAGACGTCAGACTTCACCACGTGACCGCCTCTGTCGTCACACTCGACCACATGATCACCTCATGCGTCCGACGTGGTCGTGGTTACCTCGGGTGACACGTGCTGTCTCGTTTTCAGCATCCTCTTCCCAGCGGAGGCTGGCCAGCTGTACGAGAAGCACTGTCGTCTGCTTCACTCGCTAGAGGAGCGCCTGCAGACCTGGCCTTGGCTCCCCAGTGTCGGGGACTTGCTCTGCAGGTGGGGGCGTGACGTCACCTGTAGGCGGTCTAGTCCGGGAAGACCAGCGGTGGTCTATGCCGTAGTGATCACCTATAGGCTATCCCCCTGAATGGCGTGATATGTACGTCACTTACACTTATGTACGTTTTTTTGTCCGCTCGCGTTGCTGTAGAATTGTCTCATTGAATGCAATGATGTTCTGCATTGTTGCATGCAGAATGTTGCGAGTAGTGTTCTGCATTATAGTTCTCGTATCGAACCGGTTATGCATGGAGGAACTGCATAGGCATAACCATGTGCATAGGCATAGGCATGTGCATGGACACTGCATTGCACCAGCGCCGCTGACGCTGTGGAGCGTTGGACCGCATGGCAGTGTGGCAAAGCCGGGGTTTACAAAATACTGCCAAGACCATATTCGTGTGAGACACCAGGCGATCTGTGATCTCAGTGTTTCTACCACAAAGATCGCATTTCAGATTTATTTCTGGAGAAGATTCCGAAGTACTGCACATGTACACCACCTACGTCGCTGGTTTTCCAGAACTTCTCAACACCTTCTACAGACTGTGCCGCACATCGGGCCAATTTGCAGAATTCCTCAAGGTTTGTTCGCCGCCGTTTTCCGCAGCTGACCACTGTTTTAAATCACCGGCTTAACGGAAGCGCGCAAATACAATG